TGTTGTGAAATACACGTCCCAGAGCTGTAGGGGGAGCTCGTTGAGAAAACATGCGATGACAAAAGTGAAAACCAGCGAAGAAATGGCTAGAGTTGCCAAGTTCCCCTTTAAAGTATCTAATGTAGTTGTTTTGACCCTTAAAGCAGTAATTAAAATAAAGGTCTGTTCTCTCTGTGCAGTAATGTGGAATGTGTCAAGTTGCTCCTGAGCAGCGGTGGAGACCACAACAGGAGGGATAAATGCGGCAGGTAAGAGAATACATCGCTGTTGTTCGTTGTACTGAATTAATAAGCCGATTAACATTTTAGTAGATCCACAAAACAACAAACTGACAATAATTTTGATGATTGGAGAATGGCTTAGCAACTTTTTAGTTTATGTCCCACTATTTGTTTTCTTAGAATGAGCTGTTTTTATCTACAGAGGGAGTGGATCCATTTTCCATGGAGTCCGCCATGTTGAACCGCCATGTTTATACAGTAGCCCAAAACAGACAAACCAAACACAGGCTGTAAATGGTGTCATTTATGTCTGTTGTGAGTTCTGCAGCCACTGTTTCTCCTACACACTTGGAAGGCTGAAGTATTGTTACTGTATTAACCCAGAGCAGCATGTGCGATGAAGTTTTGTGTTGGTTGCCTTGCAGTCCTTGCTTGTGTGTATGACTGGGTGTAGGTAGGGGTGTCTGTGTGCCTGTGAGCCAATTCTCCTTAATTGTTTGAGTTATCTATTTACTGTGTCATTCTTAATAATCAGTCCAACTGAACACACTGGTACAAAGCACAGCCCACCTTGGTTTGTACAGTTGTACATGTTGGTACAGGTCTCCCATGAGCCTTGATTGGTATTGGTGTTGACATTGATGTTAATAATGAATTGAGAGTTGGCCAGCTGTGACCAATCCACTTTTAGTACAGTTTCTAAGTCACCACAATTGTCTTAACCTTTCAGAGCGATAGAATTAGCATTTGCTCAAGGACACACTGTCCACATATTTTTGGCTTGGCCCTTTAGTTCCAGTTAATGTCACAGCAACAGTGAGCTTTCAGCCCTTTGGCAAAAGTTTGGAGAAGGTCCTTTTCTATTTCAACACGACAGTTCCCATATATAAAGAAATGGTTGTCTGAATGTGCGTTGGAAGACTTGACTGGCCTGCACAGAGCCCAGACCTCAATGCCCATCCCACACCTTTTGCCTGACTTCCTCTCCCAGCACTAGTGCTCTGTCTCACTGAGTGAGAGTGGAGGCTGTTACAGCAGCAAGTTAATGCCTGTGGTTTCAGAATGACATGTTCAGACATCACACAGGGGTGTGAGGTTCAGGTGTTCATGTAGTGTATGTCCTGAGTTTAGGTACTGGAACTGTTAATGGGAGAATAAAGTGGGATCAGATCATCATGGAGTTGGTACGTCTGAATATTTGTGTGATCCTGACTGTCTCTCTTCCTGTCATTACCCAGGACTCCCCTCCACTACGCGGCTGCCAGCCGTCACTATCAGTGTCTGGAGACTCTGGTCGCCTGTGGAACCGCCATCAACGCCACTGACCAGTGGGGGCGTTCTGCCCTGCACTATGCTGCTGCCTCGGACCTGGACAGGAGGTGAATTCGAGGCCTTAAAATGTCTTAAAAATGATTTTGGCAGTTCACCAGTAGATTGGATTAATGAAGTTAAGGTTACTTGTAATCCCAATTTTCCTTTATATCATTAATACTCTTTTGCCAGTGTGGATGTAAAATAGGTCTTAAAAAGGTTTTAAATTTAACCTGCCGCAACCTGAGGGAGACACATTATACAATCACGTCCACAGCGCCTCTATTCCTCACCTGCTGTCTCAAAGTTCCTTTACATCCTCTGAATCTGGCGAGAGTAGGTAGGAAATGTGTTCTGATGAAGCTGCTCCTCTTCACACCGCTTCTCTGGTGACACACTGCAAATCTGGGTAGCTGTCTACTGTTACTACATATAGAAACCTGATGGTCCACACCTCTGTGTTTCCATGGTAACCGGAGGTGATACTGAGGTGATAGTCATGCATGGACTCCAGGATTGGCAGGCTCACAGTTTACGGCACGGCGCGTAGCCAGGCATCCAGTAGTTATCCACTTACTTTTGGCATTAGTGGGTAGCGCCACATAAAGGAGGCTGTTGTTTGAGTTTGTTAATGCTTTATCCTCCTTTATCCTCTTTTGTCTCACCTGTCCCTCCTCCCCCTTCCCCCCTCCTGTTGTCTCCCCATCTGCAGGCGTCGTGTTGCTCTGGAGCCAGAGAGCGAAGGAGTTCAGGCGGAGAGGGAGAAAGAGGCAGCGCTGTAAGTCCACACTGAAACGAACCTGAAGAGACAAAGAAATATAATGTGGCATTTTGACCAAAGCTGTGTTTCAATGACATACTACATACTACATAATTTATTAGTTGCCAACTATTTACTCCCACACACACCGTCCTGCTGCCCCAAATACTTAGTGGAGCGCCATTGTGGATTAATCTGCAGCTGAAAATAGTCCCAAACAAATGCACTATTTGCTCCTTTTTTGAGTGACATTTGCTAAAAACTTAGCCAAAATGACTATGCCTTTTTAAATATATGAAATTGTACATTGAAGAGCCCTTTTTATACGTTGATGTCTTCATGAACCAACGGGCTTGAGTGCCAAAGACTAACACTTTGTTGGTTTTGGTCTTTCCATGGGATTTGTTGGCAATAAAAAATAGGATTGTTTCTGGCTGGGTAAACAGACACTGAATCTCTCACAAACATGAAAAGACACACACGCAAAGACCCACAAACTGTCTAATGTTTGTATAACCTTTACAGACATCTGCGGAAAGCATTCAGTCGATCCTCACACTCTCTGCCCGATACACGTTACACACAACTCAGTCAGAGCCACAGAATGATATTAAAGCGTTATGTTTATCACAGCGACACCTTGAAATCATAATGGTGCCTCCGGTCGCCCCCGTTGAGCATGTTAGCTGAAATGTTGTGTTTGTGTTCCAGATGTCTAGAGTTCCTGCTTCAGAGTGGAGCGACGGCCTCTCTGAAAGACAAACAGGGCTACAGTCCCGTCCACTACGCTGCTGCCTACGGACACAGGCACTGTCTGGAACTGGTCAGTACACA